TATTGCTGAACAGGAACTCAAAAAAAAAACAACTTAATCCCTCGTAAGATATCACAATTGAGTGAAGGTCTATACACCAATTTGAAGTTCCCATTGAAATTACCGATCGGTTTTCGCTCCACTGAAAAATCATGTCGAGCAATAAAATCGTTCAATTAATTCATCAACTCATCGCTCCAATCATGTGTGGCATAGTTCCATCTCATAGAGGCAAAAATTTGCTTCACAAGTAGCCAAACTTTGAACTCAACAACCGTTCATAATCAGTATCGTTGCAGATACGCGTCTATTTTTATGAAACTCGTAATAATACTCTCCGAAACGAGTTCTATCCATTTCAGTTGGTCAGCTTTATATTTAGCAGTGTTAGTCGCAGTCACACGACTACTCGCAATTATTACACCAATATGGTTGCGAAAAACCAGAAATTTCTCATGTCATACAGTTTGCTTTCTTATATGGTTCACGGCACTGCTTCAGTCTTATCTCGTCACTCTCTTTCCATGGTATTCATTTTTGATGTTTGCGTATCGTATTCATTTCATTTGCTATACAAATTGCTAAGCGAATAAAATTGTTGAATGTTGCTGCATTTGAAAGATGTTATATGATAATTAATAATTCATTACCATATCGAATATCCTCATGTTCCTCACAACAATCGTCCAACGAAGACTGGAACACTCAACAATCGAATAAACGAAAATTTTCAAACTAATCGTAAGGATCCAGTAAAATTATTGCAAATCAATCATGAATGATATTTCTGCAGTGTAGTTCCGGGTACTTCAAATCTTGATGTGTTCAAAATCCATGATTCAAATTCCTTATATTTCAAAGTTAAGAAATTTTTTGCTTTCCGCCAACCCATTCAATACTTCAAAATCGCATAAAATCAGGTAGTATTCGTTGGGTTAATCACGCAATCAGAACATACCCGTTCAAGGTAATGAACGCGAAACTGCACAACTGCATCCTGGTCGATTGCGCATTAAAAAGTTCATTTAGACTAAGAATTATCATAGTTTCAATCATTGGCCAGTATGAAAAACTTCCAATTGATTTGCAGCAAACAATGGGTGATGAGTGCGTTGAATGTTGCAAGATTCGATCATGTCTCATGCAGATTCTTCGCAATCTCGCAATCAATTAGTTTATAGTAAAAAAAAAGCGACACTATCAATGCACAATTTTGCAGGTATTCAGTAACGACACCAGTAAAAAGTCGTTACGGCGTAACGGCCAGCTCAAGCGCTAACGACACAACACAAACGAAGATTTACTACTACGTTTTTACGGCTATCACTTATGCATTGAATATCATTTTTTACCTACTGATTGTTGTGGCACTTTTAATCACTCGTAAACAACACAATAAGGTGAGTGAGTTCTCATCAAACACCCGCTGAGTTAATAGCAGACCGGAAAATGATATCAAATNAATGATTATGCTCGTCAAAAATAAAATTCCTCTCCATTTATCGATTTTGGAAGCGATCATAAATGCCTTTCTCAGCTCCCTCAATGCACTTGTTCGCGATCATTTCTCTAAAGGCATTCTCAGTTTGAGATGAATTTTGTTTTTCTAACATACTCATGCCATAACAGAATCAAGCACTTTGGTGGAACTTAAGGATTTGTATAAACAAAAGAACTACGCATGAGAGAATGTGAATAATTCTCTACGATAATCCATCATGTTTTTGGGTTGCGATATCAAATAAGTTGATATTGCACCTAACAAATTTGCATTGGTGATAAGTTTTGCAATGTGCCACTGGTTTAGAGAATATGGACAGATGTTTCGATTAAAAATTCAAAAATCTTCATTGCCACAAACATTATAAGTAGTATAAATTATCAGCATCAGCTTTAAGGTAGTTGCAACGACTAACAATAGTGGATCTTTAAGTAGGTGTATGGGAAAACTGGATGCTAATGAAGAAGCATATCGGAGTGTTGATCGATCACTTTTAATTTCGGGTTTCATCAACTGGGTTGTTTCCGTTATCAGTCAGTTTTAGTAAACATTTCTCACCTTCTCTCATATCCATTGAAAACATCAAAGCCTGAAGCTGTTCATTTCTGGGCACAGTGAATTTTGGTGCGAAATTTTAGACATATGCTTAGCTCTTGTTTGCTTTAACTGAATGGTTGTCGTTGAGAGTTGGTCATTTCAGCCGAAGTGTTGTTACGATTTGTGGAATTCAATGAACCATGGCAACAATTCTATATGATTACATTATTTCTAACGCAATGCTGGTTGAACTCAGCAGTTCGTTTGGCGATCAGTGCCACATTGAGACGAGAAATTCACACAATGCTGTGTTGGTAAGTGATTCCGATTTGTTCTGTTGAAAATAATTTCAAGCCCTTGACGACTGCTTTGCGGAGAGCTCGATTACGATTACAGAGCTAATTCGTGAATTTCAGAAAATTTCTTCG